GTGCTCTTTGAAATGAGTGATCATATGGCTTCACTAATTCAATCACTCATTCAGTAAACATTTATTGAGAGGATGCTATGGACCAGGGCACTCTTTTAGTGCTAGAAATATACAGAGGTAAAAGTCACGCACACACGTGACTCACAGAGGAAAAGTAAACGGTCACTTAACAGTGTTACAGAGTGCAACAGCAGAAATGCATACAACGAACTGGGGGATCTTACATAAGGGGGTCCAGGAGGGCTTCGGGGAGATGGTGACACTCACGCTGGGTTTGAAGAGACCTCTCAGAACTTCACCTCACATGTGAGAGAATTGAGAGCATAGCAGCCAGATGGAGGGGCACAGGCAAAGTAAGGGTCATGAAACAGCAGGGTACTCTGAGGAAACTAAGTTCAGTATTGCTACAGCAGCCACTGAAGCTAGAGCCAGGGGTCAGGTATTTGAAGAGCCCTAGATACCTCCTAAGGTGTTTGGGTTTTGTGCTATAGTTAATGGGAAACCATTAAGCAGCAGTTAATGAGGGTGAAAGGTGATGCAGTGGCTTCTGAAACTCTCAGAGTAATGAAAGACATGAACTGGAAGGGGAGGGAATGGAGACAGGAAGATGTTTACCGGAGAATATAATAATAATCCAAAGTAGAAAAAATTAAAGTCTGGACGTAGGTAATCTGTGTGGAAGTGGAGAAGGGGAAAATCATTGGGAGATATTTAAGAGGTATAGTTTACAGGATCTGGTACCAACTACCAGTGGACACTTGGAAAGTAAGAAAGCCAGGATTATTCCTTGGTTTCTGGTTTGGGGTGTTAGGCAGTTGACGGTACCCTCAGTGATGCCTTTTATGAAATATAAATATAAAAGGAGATGAGTTTTAGAAATCAATATGAGCTCACTTTGGACTTGGTATTTAGGTATCTATGGGACATTTGGGCAGGAGGACATATTAATGTGACACTCAGAACACAAGCCTAGGCTGGAGATACAGATTTGATAGTCTTTAACATGGATGTGGTAGTTAAAACCAAAGAAAAGGGAAAGTCAATCACCCAGAGTGGAAAATATGAAAAGAGAAAATGAATGACAAAAAGCCATACTTTGGGCTGTATTTTAATATTCCTGTCAACTCTCAAATATCATATTTAGAAATATTCTACTTAACATCCTATCAACGTATAACTAAAACTGAGTATTAAACACTAAACAGCAAAAAATATTTTAATTTAAATTTTCTTCTCCCAGATTAAAAAAAAATGTATACAAAGGTAAATTACTTGAAGACATATTTCAGAAAACTATGAAATTCACACTTATTTTTCTTAAAAAAGAAAACTGCATGGTAAGTAAACCACAGCACTAGTCATTTATAATTACCCAAAATCTTAATAACAGTAAACTCATATTTTGTAGTAGCTAACATTCTGAAGTCAATCACAAAAGTAGTGGTAACAGTTTAAAACAAATGATTTAAAATTCACGTAGATCTGTACTGTTTTTAGACTGTCAGTTATAAATTAAAGAATGAGAAAGGGAAATGGTGCAATGCAGAAAGTCTTATTCTAGTTTACGAATTATAAGGCCTCTGTCTCTCTGTTAAGAAAGTGTTATATATTTCTGAATATATAATGCCCTAAATTTTGTTCCTTAGAGCTTATCTTTAACAGGATGAATTCCTATCTTTCAGTCAAAACAAATGTATGAACATTTTATGAACAGAGCCTCAGTAAATGGTAAAATTAATCAATCAATATTTAGTCTCAGACAAGACGTGCTTTTCAGCTCTAACAATATACTAGGAATGTTGACTCTGCTGTGTGAATCTATGTTAAGGTGTCGGTTTTATATTGGTGACTTCAAAAAGCTAGACAGAACAATACAAATTTCATTTTGCCTGTATGTAACAACTGTTTAGTAATGAACACTAACTGTATTTACGGTCTTAACATCATAGCAGTCCTAAATAATTTAAAGAACAAATTTTAAAAGAACATTTAAAGAACAAATACGTGCTGATTTTCCCCCTTAAGGGAGATAATCTCTTGCTCTAAATTTAGAATAACAAGTTTGCCTTCTAGACAATAATATAGCCGGCAAATATCAGGCTTATGCTCGCTATTGTAAGCAATAAAGGTGGATGGTGACATCATCTCCCATTTCAAAAGAAAGTGAAAAGATGCCGAACTTCAATGAGTTGGAGACTATGAGGCAGTGCGGGGTGGTGCTCAAGCCTACACATCAGCTCTGGAGTCAGGCAGGACTCATTTTCAGTCCCATGAACATGACCTCCCCTGAGCTTGTTTCCTCATCTCTGTATCTGGACAAATATACTAGAACACACTTCAAAGAAACATTGTTAGTGTCAAGAATAAAGTGGTTGGTACAAAGTAAGTTAACAATTAATACTGCTTTCAAGTTCTCTTACCTTTCTCTATTTTTTCTTTTTCCATAGCATTTCTCATCTTTTTTTATAAATTAAATTTAAATGCTACAAAAAATACAACAAATATCGAGTCAACACACCCATCCAAATCCATGTATCATCGTTGCATTTGTTGTGAGCAGCTGAATCTGTCCACTGTGCTGCTGATCTAGTATCAAGTTGTTTCTTTTTGACAATGTCAGTGGCTCCTGACTCTTTATCACTGTTATATGGTCAGTTTGTGTCCTTGCCATATTGAACAAGCGGTAGGACACTATAGTATGACCCACAGCAGAATACAGTGACTTTCTTAAAGGGGTCCATACAGGTTTGTGAGTGAAACCCTTCGCAAATTCTTTTTAACCTGATATTAAGGGAAGATGTTTTAAAATGCCACATTTAGGGGGTGTATAGCTTCATCCTCACACAGAACGCCATCCTTTACCTCAGCGAAAACTGCATAAAGATAATTAACAAACTCACCTAAAAGGTCTACCTTAAAAAAACAGACAATGATTTATCTAAAATTTTTTCTATGTCTATCAGTTTTTAGTGAGATTTACTCCATTAACATTAATTATCACCTCTTCATATTGTAATGAAAATAACATGTTATTTACAAATACTGACTATATATCTACATAAACATTTAAATTGCAATACCAAAAATAAAAGTACACATACAAAAGCAAATGCACAGGTATAGAATAATATTCTTCTGACTCTAAAATGATAAATAATCTAGAAACAATCTTAACGCCATTCTTTTTACTTTCAAGAAAACACTACTACTGTTGTTAAAACAGATTTTAAACATACAGAGTATTGCAAAACCTGAAACAATTCCCTTGGAGGGGGGAGTATATTTCCCATGCATACTATACAATATTTTTAAAAATTAGGAATAGGTTTTAATATTTTTCCTACATAAAACAGTATTAATCTGTGAAAGTGGCTAATATGGCTTTGATATGTAATTTAAGACATTTGGTTAAAGGAAAGAATCTGATAAACCTTCGGCTGGAATGCTAAGCACAACCGAGGGTGTGTGTTGACCAAGGCACACTGGCATTACTTTGTAGAGCCGATCAATAGATACCAGCTTTCAAAAGAGAGATTTAGAAAGAAGCGGCAGCATATTTTTTAAATGACAGGGTGAAGGTTTAAATTGTCTCAATCAAGACTCAATTTTTTCTTCCCAGTTTTTCCAGCTGTCCTCTTCCAGTTAAGACTCTTCATTTCAAATAAATTTAATTAGTTCCAATTGATCATCGCCAACACTTAACACAGCTTTATCCATGCTTCTTTACTTTTATACAGCAAACACAAAGACTGCCAAGCTCAGATCCAAGTGTCGTTAAGACAATATTCATACCTCATTTGCTCTTACTCAAAAGAAAAATTTCAAATATGAATTTCTGCCTATACAAAAGCACTAAATTATACTTCATATTTTAATTGCTAGCTTGGTCAGCTGTTTAATTCAGTTAATTGAAGAATTAAGCCCCAGATTACTACAAAAATAAAATTAATACAGCTATGTATATTAGCCTAGCTACAGCATTCAAATAAGAATTCATTCAAAATACAAGCAAATATCTGTCATGATATAATTTCTACTTGGTTTTTTTGTTGTTTTTTTTGCAGTACGCGGGCCTCTCACTGTTGTGGCCTCTCCCGTCGCGGAGCACAGGCTCTGGACGCGCAGGCTCAGCGGCCATGGCTCACGGGCCCAGCTGCTCCACGGCACGTGGGATCCTCCCGGACCGGGGCACAAACCTGTGTCCCCTGCGTTGGCAGGTGGACTCTCAACCACTGCGCCGCCAGGGAAGCCCGATTTCTATTTGTTTTGCGGTGATATTATTAGAGGAATTCCTTTTAAACAGCCAGGGGAAAAATCAGATTTTTCAAAGTGAATGGCTAAATTGGCCAGTTTTCCCTTTTGTAGTACCTCTTGTGCTCTACAATGCTGGTTATCCCAAAATAAAATTATTTTGCTTGAAACAGGTTTCTCTCAGTGCACCTACCATATTTTTCATAATGCAATTTATATAGGATTCTCCCTGAACGATCTACAGGCTGCAGCATGCTAGCTGCTCTGACAACATGTTAAGGAAGGCTTTTTCGTTATTTAAATTCTTTGGATATTGAGCATTCCATTCATTTCTATAGTATAGGTACAAAGAGTATCTGTAAGTTTCCTCATGTAGCCTGTGTTGCATAAATTGCTATTACAACTTTGATATTTTCAGTTTACCCTCTACTATAACTGCAAAACTTTTCATAACACAATAAGTGTACTCCTCTACATGTCCCAAGGCTTTAGTAATGATCCTAGCCTCTGAATTAGAAGGTTCTCAGAAAATCAAATGCACAGCTAGCAGGTTCACTGTTATAGCAACAATGAGCAAACCTGGACCAAATAAACAGTCTGCTTCTTTCTACTTCAATATCAAAAAGGGCACTAAAGGGTATCAAAAACTAAACACTCCATCAGTGCAAGTTTCCATCAACATATTTAACCCCACTGTAAACGACCTAAAAGCATTTTCCAATACTGGATGTTAAAGATATCATGGTTACCAGTGGTGATGTCATCATCCACAAGGTCGTGCTCTTCCTCTTGGACTTTGGCTTCTGGCCCTGAGGCATCAGGAGCAGTGGTAATAGTCTGCATGGCTTCTGCTGAGACCCCAGCTAAAACAAATGGGAAGCACAAGGGTTAGTTTTTAAAAACTAAAAGAAAGGTGGGGCTTCCCTGGTGGTGCAGTGGTTGAGAATCCTCCTGCCAATGCAGGGGACATGGGTTCGAGCCCTGGTCCAGGAAGATCCCACATGCCGCGGAGCAACAAAGCCCGTGCGCCACAACTACTGAGCCTGCGCTCTAGAGCCGGCAAGCCACAACTGCTGAAGCCCACGCGCCTGGAGCCCGTGCTCTGCAACAGTAGCCACAGCAATGAGAAGCCCCGTGCACTGCAGAGAAGAGTAGCCCCTGCTCACCACAAGTAGAGAAAGCCCCCTCACAGCAATGAAGACCCAACGCAGCCAAAAATAAATAAATAAAATAAATAAATTCATAAAAAAAAAAAAGAAAGGTGGACAAAAACTCTTAAAGCATTTTAATTGACTTACTGGATGCAAATGCAATATGTTAAAAAAAAATACAATATATTCACCAAAATTAGGGAGAGACAGAAATTAATGAACAAAATATTCACGTGTGTTCTATTGCTTTATATATTGTGTGTGTGTGTGTGTGTGTGTGTGTGTGTGTGTGTGTGTGTGTACATGGATGCAAACTATATTGACTTTTAACTAAGATCTGGGAACAGAAAAATGATGAAGTAAATTACAGTTTTACTTGATTCCTTTCAATGTTTTTGCTACAGTTACTTTAGCAAATTTAGACATAATTATGCTAAAAAGAGGGAGAAAACAACCTAGAGAGTGAAGGACTATTTTAAAAGTTTACTTCTCTTTAATATTAGTTTGCTTGTAATTTGGGGGTTGGGAAGAAGGATGATGACAAAGGAGGGATCTGTGTTCTGATTCTGTGTAAAAGACCTGAAATGCATTTGCCCCAAGAGCATAATATCTCTCTGTCTCTGAAGGAATTAGATATGAGGTCAGATAATTATGGAACTGAAAGCACCTAACTGAAAGCAGACAGGTGAACTAGATCAGGGCACCAAAAACTTCCATTCTGTAAACCACCTGAGAATTTGAAAGTTCATACAAAGGTCTCTTCCTTACTTACCTATTTTCCCATCTTTGATGATACATAGGTTCCCCCCCTCCACTATCTGAAAGTAGAGCACTGCTGTGAAACCTTTCGTAAGCCAGAATGACATAAAGCAAAGAAGCAATCACCTTAGGACACATCTTCCTAACAAATGCACAGAATTCAAGACAAAGCACAGATGCTCACAGACACAATTCAAACCAATGGCAACTTGATGCTGAGATGCTGAGCTAGCTCCCAGGGAAGGAGCTTGGTGGTGCCACTCTAAGCCGCTCTTGGTGTGCCTGGCTCTGTAACAGCTCACTGCTAAACAAACGCTGAGTGCTATTATTGCCTTTTGTCTTTTTTCATAAAAGCGAAAATCCTCTTTAGCTATCTTTCAATCAGCAAAAACAGGTACTAACGACAATCTTTCATAAAAGTGAAGGGTTGTAAAGCAAACTTTCAAAAAGAGGAAAATGCCTATACTTTGTTGTCAATTTGCATCTAATTTGGCAATGGATAGGCGGAGGTGTCCAATATTTTACACATGGTTACCAAGAGGTATTGCTCAATTATGGTATATAAAAACCTCACCCACTGGAAGTTACTTCAGGAGTTGAACCTTTTAATCAAATCTTCTTAATAAGTACTTCGATAAATGCACATATAAAATCCAACACAATATTTTTAAAACCGGAAGCTACAAATATTCCAGGATTTCTTTTCTTCCAAGATGCATTAACGGAATTTCTATATGAAATTCAACCTTGCTGCCTCAGGTTTATGAAAGGCACCAAGAGGAAGAATCTTAGTCATTAACCACCATGAATGATCCAGAAGTAGACCTACCAGTAGGCAGTTCCGAGGCCTAACGATTTAAATTTGGGGAGAACGTCATTTTAGCGCAGCCACTCTACTCAGTATCGCTCCAACGAAAGAACGAACAGTGCCAGATGAATGGTCCCCAAGAACAAAACATGACAAAGGCCACCCCTTTACAGCATCACTTTTGTTGTTAGGTTTTCAAGATAAAATTTTAAAATAAAGAAGGGGAATTACTAGAAAAATAATATTATGTTAATTATTTGATTAAAGATGGTTACCAGTAAAATAATCACAAAGAAGAGATAAGAAGGTAAACGCCACATTTCTACAGACTTACTGCTTAAGCACAAAATCAAAGATCGTTGTTTCAGATTATTAAACCAAAATATAAATCTCTGAAATCTTTCAGTCTCATTCCATGCTTAACACTTGATAATTTTGAAAATGATCAGAGAAACAGGGAAATGATATTAAGGAACAGTTTAGATGGCAACAATCATTTATTATTAGTATTTTCCTTTCCTGTAAAATTAAGGGATTCCATGAAAATAAAGCTACTATTTATGTGTAACAAGTTTATAAATCCATTTAAATTTATCTCATTTAATCAGAGAGGTCAAGTACTTGCTCGGCATAACACAGGTACTAAATTCAAGAACCAGTATTGATGTGTAGATCTTCCGATTTCAACCCCAATATCCTTTTACCAGTAAGTCCTCCCAGGGACTGAGTTGCTCAGGGCAGGATAGGAGGCATGACAGAATATCACAGCACAAGCATGAGAAGTCATGGAATCACATGATATTGAGTATAATTACTGTGAAGTCCTCCACGGTGTTCTTGGGCTATACTAGACAACTGTTCAACTGAGGGCATTCAGTATTTTGGAACAGAGCTTAAGAAGCAAACGTGGATATCTCAAAGTAACCAAGGTTGAAAGACCAAGAAGTATCTATGTTGAAACTGGTTCTTTGATCGATGCTTTCCAAAACAAAGTAAGGGTTATAAAATCCTATATATCTTGGCAGAAGAAAAGAAAATAGAGTTGACCCTTAAACAATGCAGGGGTTAGGGGCACCAAACCTCTGTGTAGTCAAAAATCTGGGTGTAACTTATAGTTGGCCCTCCGTATCCATGGATACAACCAACCACAGATCATGTAGTACTGTAGTATTTACTACTGAAAAAAATCCACATATAAGTGAACCCACTCAGTTCAAACCCATGTTGTTCAAGGGTCAACTGTACAAACAACAACAAAAAATAAAACTACAAATCAATATCTCTCATGAATATAGTCTCAAAAATCCTTGACAAAATATAAGTATTACACTGATTTTTGAATCAGTGTAACACGATCCTTACATTAATTCAAAATATCAATCAATGTAATCCAAAATATTAAGAGGTTAAAGAAGAAAAAAAATCATATGAGCATGTCAGTAACTTGATAAAATTTGACAACAATTCATGATTTAAAAAAACCCTCAGAAAAATACAAATAGAAGAGAGAGAGGAACTTGCTCAAGTTAATAAGAGCACCTACTAAAAATCTGCAGCTAACATTATACTTAACAGTGAAAGGCTGAATGCTTTCCTCCTGTGATCAAGAATGAAGCAAAGATGTCCACAGTGCCACTCTTATTTAACATATATACAATGGAATATTACTCAGCCATAAAAAGAAACAAAATTGAGTTATTTGTAGGGAGGTGGATGGACCTAGAGTCTGTCATACAGAGTGAGGTCAGTAAGAAAGAGAAAAACAAATGCCATATGCTAACACATATATATGGAATCTAAAAAAAAAAATCGTTCTGATGAACCTAGGGGCAGGACAGGAAAAAAGACGCAGACGTAGAAAATGGACTTGAGGACACAGGGAGGGGGAAGAGGAAGCTGGGATGAAGTAAGAGAGTGGCACTGACATATATACACTACCAAATGTAAAATAGATAGCTAGTGGGAAGCAGCTGCATAGCACAGGGAGATCAGCTCAATGCTCTGTGACCACCTAGAGGGGTGGAATAGGGAGGGTGGAAGGCAGGCGCAAGAGGGAGGGGATATGGGGATATATGTATACACATAGCACTTCATTATACAGCAGAAACTAACACAACATTGTAAAGCAATTATACCCCAATAAAGATGTAAAAAACAAAACAAAACAAAACAAAACAAAAAACCCCACAGCATTGGAAATTTCTAGCCAGTGCAATAAAGCAAGAAAAGAAAACACATACAGTTTGGAATGGATGAGGTAATCCTACTCAATGAAAAAATAACTGTCTATGTGGAAAATCTAAAGGAATCTACAAAAAATAAGCGAACAAATAAGTGAGTACAGCAAGGCTGCAAAATACAAGAAAAAAATTCTTAATTATATTCCCATATGCTAACAATGAATACGTGGACACCTAAACTTAAAAGAAAAATACTAGTAACACTGGTTCAAAAAAGACTGAAATACTGTAAAAAAGACTGAAAAGATGTAAATACCAAAAAAAAAAAAAAATAGATGAAACCTACAAAACACTGACGAAACATCAAAGATATAAATAAATGAAATGGAGAGACATACCATGTTCATAGGTTGAAAGATTCTACATAGTAATGATGTCAATTTTCTGTATACAGGTTTAATGTAATTACTATCAAAATCCCAGCACGATTTTTTGTACATACAGCCAAATATTTCTAAAATTATACAGAAAGACAAAGGAACTAGAATAGCTAAAAGAATTTTTGAAAAAAAAATAAGGTAGGAAAAATCAAGACTTATCATTTAAAGTTATTAAAACTATTTGGTAGGAAAAAGGTAGGAAAAATCAAGACTTATCATTTAAAGTTATTCAAACTATTTGGTTTTAGGTTAAGCGAACAGAATAGAAAACCAGAAAAAGACAAACACAAATATGTCCAATGTTATTTGACAGAGGTGCAAAAAGCAAATCAATGGAGGAAAGATAGCCTTTTCAACAAATGGGCTGCTACAACTGGATATCCACACACAAAAAGTATGAACTTTGAACTACGGCTCACACCTTATTTAAAAATCAACTCAAAGTGAATCATGGACTTAAATGTAGAACATAAAACTATAAAACTTAAAAAAAAAAATAGTAGGAGAAAATCTTTGGTACCTGAG